TTTTCTGCTCTCTTTCTCTCTCCCGCTTCTTTATTTTTCCGACTTGTCAGATCTCCCTTTCCATTCCCCCTAACCCCTCCGATCCTCCATCGCCGGCCGGCGGATGTCCGCCTCGCGCGCTCCCCCCGCCGCCGCCGCCACCAACCCCTCCGACCAGATCATGCACTCTATGAAGCGCCAACTCCCCTTCTCCTCCATGAAACCGCCTTTCCTCGCCGCCGGCGACTACCACCGCTTCGCCCCCGACCACCGCCGGGCCCTCGACCAAGAACCGGAGGCCATCGTCGTCAAGACTCCCGTCAGTGCTCCCTAATTTCGCCTCGTCACAATTTTCGCTGCTTTTTTGTTTTTGTTTTTGTTTTTGTTTTTGTTTTTTGTCTTTTTAATCTTTCGGCGGTTATTTGAGTATCAGAGTGGGGTTTTCAGTTTAGGTGAGAGTTTGCGGAGGAGTTGAGATCTGCTCAATTGAAGGTTTTAATTAGTTGCTCAGTTGTTAATTTGTTGGAATTAGTCGGTGAATTGGTTTCGGAGTTAGCGTTGGAGCTAAATTGTAACTTGGGGGTTTAATCACTGGTAGTTGAGGTTTAATTTTGATTTTCTCAGGTTAAGGCGCGTTAGAGATTATAAATATAGTATGTGTGAAATTAATTGAAGGAAAAAGGCTTTTGTGTTCATTTGTTTTAGTCTCTTCTGTAATATGAACTTTGGGTCTGTTACTATAGCAATGAGGAACCTGAGAGGATGTGCTTGTTGATTATCCAGAAGTTGAGTTTGTATCGTAAATTGGGCAATTTTAGTAGGAAAGGAGCCAGTGGCAAGGAAACAAATTGGTTGTATTTGATGGTTTGAAGTGCTCCTAAAAAGTCCCATTGAGTTTATAAGCTCATTTGGATATAAGTTTAAAAGAGTTTTTGAGAGTTTCTCTATTAATAATAAAGAGTTTTCTTTTTTTCATTAGAAAAGTTCTCAAAAACATTGCTAACTTGGATCCAAACAAAATTTATATGTGCATTTTTTCTTTTGACCTTGTTATTTTTTAGTTCAATCATTTTACTCAACCTTGAAGTAGGAGTTGTGGCCTTACCAAATGCATAGGTTACTGGGGATTTGATTTGACCAGAAATGAAATGAGTGACTGCATCCATATCGTGATGCATTTCTTTTGGGGTGCCTTTCATACTATTAGATTAAAGCAGTTGTACATTTATGTACATGTGTCATGCCTAGTCCTTTTGTTTGGGGCTTTGAGAGAGAGATTTTCAACTGAGGGGTTCACATTAAGTGATCACAAGCTAACAAGATAGGAAAATGATTCATGTGAAAAAATGAATTATGCATAATCTTGTAATGGATTGACCTACCAATTGCTATAAATGCAGTGGAGTATTTCCTTTTAATTCTTTCTCTTTTCAGAGAATCTATTGACATATTTACAACTATTGAGATAGTCCTTTGTTGTCCTTTGGTGATATTGTAAGTAAATATTGCTTTGTAGTTATATTTTTGCAATGCTTTGGACCTAAGTTTAGATTGGCCATTATGGTCAGATCATTGTGATATGTGAATTATTTGTAAAAACATAATTCTTACCATTCTAATTTCTCTTGTTTATAATTACTTCTATTGATTGCTTTTCATGTACAGCAACTGAAGCGAAAGAGTGAAGTGGCTGATTTTGAAGCTGATTCTGGCGATAGGATGACTCCCGGATCTGCTGAAGCAGCTAATAGTCCTTTTCAGACACCTGTTTCAGGAAAGATGGGAAAGGGAGGCAAATCCTCTAGGCTGACAAAATGTAACAGGCCTGGAGCTCAAACCTCAGGCTCAAATATTGGTGAATATCTTCTTTCAAACTTTGTATAATAGGTTATATGTTTTTATTTTTAAAAAATATCTGAAGAAAATTCAGGTAAAACAATATTTTCTTTGCCTGTCAGCTAACATAGCATCATTCCTGCCTGTCAGTTTTGGTGTGCAAAAAATTTAGATATTTTTTTTTTTGTGTAAACTTGACAGGTTCTCCAGCGGGCAATAATCTCACTCCTGCTGGTCCATGTCGTTATGACAGCTCTTTAGGTATAATAGCTTTTTTCAGTTCATTGTTGATCATGAGTGTTTTATTGTTGTTCAATTCTTTATGGCGTAAATTATACTTCAATCCCTTGAAGTTTCACCCTTTTGCAATTAATGGCCCCCTCAACTTATTTTGTGCCTTAACCCCTCTCAACTTGTAGTTCAAACACACACACATATACTTTGGTTTAAGTATAAATCAGTAATTTTAAACTACATTTACATCAGTTGTTTACACATTATCTCATTGTGGTATAATATTTTAGCAATCTACCCCTCTAAAGCTGTTGCTTATTTTATGCATTACCTTCTGGAAAAGACAAAACTTTTAGAGTTACATAAAGGTCAGCAAACTATCAAAGAACCAATGAAAACCAAGTTGAATTGCAAACTTCACTGAACTACACCAAGAAGATTCATTTCTGCCAACCCACTCCCCTATATTCTTTTTGCTGCCAACAGTGGATGCACAGGTCTGAACAGTCACCACTATCCAATTTTTGTGTAGTTTTGAGTAGAAAGGGATCACAATTGGTACTCTATACATCCGTCAACATGCTTGTTGGGCAGCATCAAAATAAAAACTGTAAAAGGATCTTACCCACAGTTCTGTTGATGAACTGGTTAACCAAATGAAAAAAATGGTTTTTTAATTACAGTTCAAAGAACTGGTTTTTAAATGTTGTGTGGTTTAGAAACTGATTCTGTAATTTAGTTTGATTACAGTTTGGTTCAGTTTTTGAATCAAACTAACCATGTCCTATATGGATAGGTTGAGTAAATGTTAAATTGCCATTGAAGTTAACTGAAGTTAACGTTTTCAAGTTAAACCAAAGTTGAGGGGGATTTAGTTACAAAAAAAGTCAGTTGGGTTTATCTGAAAATGGTGAAACTACTGGCGGATAAAGTGTAATTTTCCTTTTGTTTTATATGTTTACTGACAAAATGAAGTCTCTACAAGCATTTTAATTATTTTATATATCATTTTAATAAAAAAATAGGTCTGTTGACAAAGAAGTTCATCAATTTGATCAAACAAGCTGAGGATGGTATCCTTGATCTGAATAAAGCTGCCGATACATTAGAGGTTAATATATTTTCATCTGCTCTAATGATTGCATGCTGTAAATTTTGATTATTTGATTTTTTTTTTTTTGTATCTACAGGTGCAAAAGAGGAGAATATATGATATAACCAATGTTCTTGAAGGGATTGGCCTGATAGAAAAGAAACTCAAGAACCGAATTCAATGGAAGTAGGAATTTCTATACATCTGTCCTTGTCATATTTGTTTTCTGATGTATTGAAAGTTTGAAACTCTCTTACCAACTCCTTTGATGATTGGTCAGGGGACTGGATGTTTCAAGACCGGGGGAGGCTGATGATAGTTTTGCTAGTTTACAGGTTAGGACTTAGGAATGATTCAATTTTCTGCTTGGAATTCACATGGAGATGGTTTCTTTGGAAGATATAAAGCCTGTTTATAGATTTGACTTATGATTTCCTGTCAAGAAACTTTGCCTTTTTCATGCTGAATTTAGCTTGTTAAATGATTTTATGTGGTACAGCTTGTGAAACATATTTTTATTGAAATAAATGTACAGACCTTCTGACTTGAATTTCAGTAATTTTCTTAGCAATGGGTGTTGTGATTGAATTTATGTTGATATAATTTATTTTATTTGTTAGGCTTCAATGATAAATTGATAATATTAATTCCTGAAAATTTGTGTTGATTTCTTTTTGTTTCTCATCTGCAGGCAGAAGTTGAAAATTTAACAATGGAGGAGCACCGGTTAGATGAGCAAATAAGGTGAGTGCAATGCCTTGGTTTATTCTTCTCTATTTAATTATTGCATTGATTTTGTTATCTATATTAACTACGTTTAAATTTTCTAATTATTGCAGGGAGATGCAAGAAAGACTGCGGGATCTTAGTGAAGATGAAAACAACGAAAAGTAATATTTATTTTGCTTTGATTCATTTTTGGGCTATTTGGTCACAATTTTAAGTTTATAACTATATATGACATGTTTTTTTTTTTTAAATCTACTTCCACCTTCATAGGTTGCTTTTTGTGACTGAGGAAGATATAAAGAATTTGCCCTGCTTCCAGGTTAGTTTCCTGATCTACGTTCTTTGCATCTTGCAATGTAATGTTTTTTTGGATGTTAACTGAATCATTTGTCTTTACTGCTAGAATGAAACCTTGATAGCAATTAAAGCTCCGCATGGCACCACTTTGGAGGTCCCTGATCCTGATGAGGTAATTTGAGAGGGTATGAGGAGTTCAGCAGAAGTTATTCATATCATATGCATCTTTCTGATTGTAATCCCCCCTTTTCCATTAGGCTGTTGATTATCCGCAGAGGAGATACAGGATAGTCCTCAGAAGCACAATGGGCCCAATAGATGTTTACCTTGTTAGGTATGCTTACTTTTTTTTTCCTTCATTTTTTTATAGTTCTGAAATCATTTACCACAAGGGTTAATTGCAATGGTATGATCAGATGAGGCAATGATGTTTGACAATTACAACATGTTATAAAGTCAATATTCCTGACCTCCCCTTTCTCTCTTGCCATTTTAGTCAATTTGAAGAAAAGTTTGAAGAGATTAATGGTGTTGATATTTCACCCAAACTTCCATCCAGTCCAGATGTTAACAAGCATCAATCAACGATGGTCCCAGAGGATAGAGGGAAGGACATAGAAGTGCAGGGACAAGAAGTTCAAGGGCCCAGTTCAGATTTTGCTGCCTCTCAGGATTTCGTGAGTGGGATCATGAAGATTGTTCCTTCAGATGTTGCTGTAAGTATCACCTGTCTGTGAGACATTTGTTGTATTTATAACAATTCTAATGCGAGAATATAGTCTTATGGACTATGGCAAGTGGTAACAGTCTCAACAGCTGTAAGGAATATTTAAACAAATCAATTATCGCATATTCCGTTTTGTTTTTTGAAGGGGGAAGGGGGTTATCAATTTTTGCATTTTCATATTGCAACTTGTAAGCATAAAGTGATATCGTTACTGATTTAAGAAATGAAAGTACAAGTGTTGGAGCTTATTTGAAACTTCTTTTCTCTTTGCAGAGTGAATCTGATTACTGGCTTTTATCAGAAGCTGAGGTTTGCATAACTGACATGTGGAGAACAGAACGTATATCCTCTCTAAATTCCTTAGCTTCCATTTTATTCTTTAGATATATCATGCACTCCCACAGATCAGGAGGGGAGGGGTTTGAGAGTTTCATTTTCTTTTTTAAATTCAATTAAATATGAATCTAGGCTTGATGTTTTGAAACTTTACATTTACAGCTGAAGTTGAATGGAATGAACTGGATCCTCTTCAAGGAGATTGTTGTATTACTCGCGAGAACACTACGACCCCAAGTCAACCTTCAAATGTAGCTGAAGTGTCTTCCGCGCCTAAACCTACTGTTGGAGGTTGAAGCTTCCGAAGGATACATTGTGAATATAAAAGGGAACGTGGTACTCCTTTCCTGCTGTGATCCTATGACATCCAGCCATGTCCTTCCGAAGGATACATTGTGAATATAAAAGGGAACGTGGTACTCCTTTCCTGCTGAGAACCTATGACATCCAGCCATCTCCCTTTTGTATCCTCTCTGCATAGTCCTGGAGGTTGGATTGAAGGTTCCATGAAGATGCTTTCTCATGTTTCTCCAAGTAAATATTACATAACCTAAGCGACCTTAGTTCAAGAAAAAAATTCTTTCTGCTTTGCTGAACCCTTTGTATATTATTGTAAGTCTTGGTTTCTAGTTTACTTAGCTCGATGTCTTATGTTTGGCAAGCAATAAAAACACTTAGGAATGCAAATTGAAAGAGTTACGCTCCCGGTCAATGTTATAATAACGTATCACTATTCGTCAATTTCAATTGTTGCAATGCTTGCAATTCAGCACTGTTGTTGAAATGACAAAATTTCATCTGGGAGTCTACCTTCTCGCTTCTCTGTTCCTCCCTCGATATCCCAATGTGAGGTATATATAACCAGCAACTTACTAGTAGCCATATACCGATTCTATTAAAATGGAGGATGCAACCATGCAAGTGAATTATAGCAATGTCAGTGACGTACACTTGGCGAATAGGTTTTTTTTTATTTTTTAATTAAACCATTTTCATTTTCGTTATGTAATAAGGATGTACATGCCCAAGTATGGAAAACATGTCCAAATGGCAATGGAAATGAAGATACAATGTAGAAGCACATTACAGGGGAACACTGTTTGGCATCTGAAGGTATGACTACAAGCTAATTATCTTTCTCCACCTTCTTTCCAATCCAACCAGCCACAATTGGGGTAAGAGCTACTGTGGGTGGAAACCTAATAGGAGATGCAGCTTTATGTGCAGCATATGCCAAAGCAAAGGTACCAACTTTTTCGCCAGTCGCGTCAGTTGAGATTCCAACCTGAGGATAAACACGCAATTCATTAATCCGAAGCAAATATAGTCTTAAACTAGTTTGCAATCTACAATAGGTTTTGTTTTAATGTTACACCTTCTGCAGTAAACTTTGGACATCAATTCCAGCGCTGATCAATGCATAACAAAGTGCGAAAGAGATCAATGACAGAGTAATGGAGGTTGCCAAGTATGCTCCTCCATATTTTGCAAGCAATTCCTTGGCTTGATCACCCTTCGATTTCTGTTGGTCAGAATTGCCCTCAACATTTCCTTCCTCTTTGGAGCTGAAAATCTGCGACAGACCATAATTTTCATTTTAGAGATACAAAAAGGTACCGAATACTGATTCAATACTTAACATTCCTCAAAGATCAAAATCCACCCACCACCCATCAGTTCCTCACCGAAACTGGAGAAAAAACACGAGGCGAAATGAAGGAATAGAAACAAACCCTACAATTCAGGGATAAACATACAAGCAAAAGCTCAAAAGGCTATGACTTAAAAAATAAAACTTCAATCAAGTGGCACATAATAGCTGCATCAAGGAAGCTACCCGAATTCGATTTGACAAGCAAAGCTAGTCATTTGCCTCACTGTTTAAAGACTACTCTTTCAAGGTTTCTGTTTCTGTTATCGGAAAATTCAGCAACAAAAACATCCTTGGAGTATACTTATGAATTTCTCTCAATCCAAATTGTGCTCCTTCCTGAAGCACACTTAATAGAGTAGGAAACAATACACTTCGCATAAAAGCCAAGAAAAAAGATGTAGCTTATCAACAAAAACACGAAACACCCAAAAACAAGAAACCTTTGATTTGTAAAATTGGAATCTTTTAGTCAAAAAAAAAAAAAAAAACCGAGAGAAAGAAATGGGCACCTTCCAAAGACCAGCTTCAAGGCCATACTTCTTTGTAACTTCCTCAGGCGAAGGGCTTTCAATTTCCTCTGTTTTCTCTCTAAGGGCTCTCACTCTGAAGCCCTTAACATGGGATTTAAGTGTGTGAAATGAAGCAGGAGTGCAAAGTCTATTAGTCCCTTTGCTCAGTAACGAAGCACAAGAAGGCGATGGGAGTAGCAGAGATGTCGTCATTGTTGGCCCCTCACAAATCTTGTAGATAATAATCTAAGAATTTGTTGTGTGATGATCAAATTGAAAAATCAGAGACACGAAAAGTGTTATGTGTGTTCACTTGAACCAACAAAGAGAGAAGATAGTAAACGATAATGATTGGACAAAATATGAGTTTTTAATTAGATGTTGTTAAGTCCACACGACACGGTTAATGCACGAACTCAGTGTGGCAAACTCTTCTTTGTCCGTTGCAATGGGCCTCTCAAATAAGCCCAATAAGAGAATGGACCCACGGCACGTGCCACCCTTCAAATTTATGGTCACCCAGAGGGATGGACACGTAGCAAGCAATACTACCACAAATTTTAATGAATCTGTTTTATTTTTAAAAAAAAATTATGCTAATATATTTTATAGCATACTTTTTTAATACAGTTTTTATTACTATCAAGAAGTAGTTATTATCATTTAGCAATAATGTGATATGCATTTAGATATATGATATCAATAATTATTTAAAATAAACATAAATGTCTATACGAATGTTATAATCCTTTTTTTTTTTTTTTTGAAAACCAAATGTATCATTTATGGATCGATTATGCTTGGGTTAAGTAGAATCATAATAGATCAATTTACGTGTTTATTAAATGCTTCAATTCAAAATTACTAGTTATCGCTTTGCGTTAGTTGATTCAAGTATTCTCTGAGACCAAATAATAATAGTTTGATTGATTCTAATACCAACATATATTGTTTAGTTATTTTAATATTTGAATGACAAGTTTCCGAATGAGAAGATAACGATGAACTGCTCGGTCTAGACGTTTGTCTTACACAAGACTTGATTTTAAATTATGGTATGAAATGGGAGAAATTCTCGTGGATTTGAAGAATAAGACATGTAAGGATTTATGTTTTATTTATTTATTTTATCTACATATACTAGTAATAAAGAAATATATAATTTTATTTTAATAATTTCTATATTATATTTCATTTTATCTTTTATAACTACTAAAAATCACTCAAATCCTTCAATTAACCATTAACTATTATAAAATTTTAATTATTTTTATTTTATTTACTTTAAAGTACATAGAATTATAAAATACTTTTTTTGCGCTAGTCAGATATAATATTGATGTGAATTTTATCTATTTTAATAAAGTATTTTTCATACTATGCATCAAGTCAGTATAGTATAAAGTTATAGTTAACCATAATCAAGTTGGACCTATCATTTTGGGAAAGGGTCTTTGTTAGGGGACCCTCTTTTCTCCATATCTATTTGTGCTTGGGATGGAAGGTTTACCTGAATTATCAAACATGCAGAGAACATAGGTGATGTGCATGACATACAAGTGTGTAAGGATACCTTAAGAGTTATTCATCTTATGTTTGCAAATGACTGCTTTCTTTTCTTTTGTGCATCAGAAAAGGAAGTTGAAAATGTAAAGAACATACTTCAAGAATACAAGCTACTCTTGAGACAAGCAATAAACTCGACAAAATCAAAAGTAGTGTTCAACAAGAATGCTTCTAAAGACCTCAAAATAACTATATCTAGGTTGATTGGTGTTCATGAAGAACAAGACCTAGTAGATATTTGGGTTTTCCATTTATGATTGGTCAAAATAAGAAGGAAATATTCAAATTTATCAAAGATCGTATTTCGTGTAAAATTCAATCATAGTCTATTTTCTCTCTCTCCATGGCTAGAAGGAGATTATGATAAAATTTGTTGTTTAGGTCATTCCATCATATGATATAAGTGTATTTATGCTTCCCTTATCCCTAGGTGATAAGATAAAGTGCATGATGAATTCATAATAGTGGGTTTCTAGTTCTAGACAAGGAAAAAAAATTAACAATTAACCGGTTAAGATGCAATAAAATGATTGTAGAAAAGGAGCATGGGAGCAGTGGCGGAACTTGAATATAATATTATGGGAGCAGTGGCGGAACTTGAATATAATATTTGGGGATGCCAAATTAATCTTTTTATATATAAATTAAATATTTTATTAATTAAAAAAATAATATAATTTTTTTTTCTACTCAAAATAAACATACGTAATAATAAAATCTTAAAAAATATTATCATTCATTAATCATTTTATAAAATAATCATATAAATATAATATAATATATATATAAATTATTTTTTTTAGAAAAATCTGGGGGTGTCGTGGCTCCCCCGGTCCCTAAGAAGGTCCGCCGCTGCATGGGAGAACGGGGGTCAAAAATATTCATACATTCAACCTTGCTCTACTAGGTAAGCATGCTCGGAGAATAATTACAAAACATGAATCCTTGAGTAGCAAATTTTTTAAATCCAAATACTATCTAAATGGCAACTTTGTAGGAGCTCAACATGAACATAACCCAAGCTAGACCTGGTGCAACATTTGGAGCACCCAACAACTCATCAAGGAAGGTTATATATGGAGGGAAGGTAATGGGAAAAATGGGGAAAACATTCAAGTATGGGAAAATCTGTGGCTAAAAAACATTAATGGAAGTTATCTATTACAAATGCATGGGATTGATGGTCTTTGGGATATCAGAGTGTGTAATCTTATTGAAATGGAGAACAAGGATCAGAACATTGATTGCATTGCCGAATCACTATAAAAATTACTAGATTAGAAATAACTTAGGTCATTCTTCTTGAAGACATAGGTCAATAAAATCTAAATTTATCATGCTACTATTAGAATGAGAATTTATGAGCAACCAAACAATAATTACAATAGAATTAATTAAAACACAAAATAGAATATAGAAAGTTGAGAGAATTCTTATTAGAAAAGCATTAATTCAAGACTTTAATCCTTGTGAAAAAAAATTCATGGTTCAAAATGTAATCCAAATTCAGTCATCCTTAAATCAATCCTTAAATCAACAAGAACATTTCTAAAAATGTAGATCTAGATCTAGATCTATAAAATTTCATAAAAATGCAAGATGTAATCCCGATCTTACAATTTTCATGAAATTCAAGAACAACGAACGGTTGGTTTAGGGGATTTTGGATCTAGATCCAAAAATGCACTTCAATTCAAATTTAGATCCAATACAAACTTAGTTCATAATCATGAAAAATAAAAATTAGATCTAGAAAGGAGAAGAAGATGAGGTAAAGAAATTGTACGATGAAATTAAATCAAAACTCAAATTTTATCACAATTCATGAAATCTCGAATTGATTAAGCGGATTAGTCATGCATCTCCATCAAGATGTTGTAGTTAATTCGTGGAAAGAATGTAGACAGAGATCTCTATGTGATTGAGGGAGATCTAATGTGTGTCTCCCCCGGTCCCTAAGAAGGTCCGCCGCTGCATGGGAGAACGGGGTTCAAAAATATTCATACATTCAACCTTGCTCTACTAGGTAAGCATGCTCGGAGAATAATTACAAAACATGAATCCTTGAGTAGCAAATTTTTTAAATCCAAATACTATCTAAATGGCAACTTTGTAGGAGCTCAACATGAACATAACCCAAGCTAGACCTGGTGCAACATTTGGAGCACCCAACAACTCATCAAGGAAGGTTATATATGGAGGGAAGGTAATGGGAAAAATGGGGAAAACATTCAAGTATGGGAAAATCTGTGGCTAAAAAACATTAATGGAAGTTATCTATTACAAATGCATGGGATTGATGGTCTTTGGGATATCAGAGTGTGTAATCTTATTGAAATGGAGAACAAGGATCAGAACATTGATTGCATTGCCGAATCACTATAAAAATTACTAGATTAGAAATAACTTAGGTCATTCTTCTTGAAGACATAGGTCAATAAAATCTAAATTTATCATGCTACTATTAGAATGAGAATTTATGAGCAACCAAACAATAATTACAATAGAATTAATTAAAACACAAAATAGAATATAGAAAGTTGAGAGAATTCTTATTAGAAAAGCATTAATTCAAGACTTTAATCCTTGTGAAAAAAAATTCATGGTTCAAAATGTAATCCAAATTCAGTCATCCTTAAATCAATCCTTAAATCAACAAGAACATTTCTAAAAATGTAGATCTAGATCTAGATCTATAAAATTTCATAAAAATGCAAGATGTAATCCCGATCTTACAATTTTCATGAAATTCAAGAACAACGAACGGTTGGTTTAGGGGATTTTGGATCTAGATCCAAAAATGCACTTCAATTCAAATTTAGATCCAATACAAACTTAGTTCATAATCATGAAAAATAAAAATTAGATCTAGAAAGGAGAAGAAGATGAGGTAAAGAAATTGTACGATGAAATTAAATCAAAACTCAAATTTTATCACAATTCATGAAATCTCGAATTGATTAAGCGGATTAGTCATGCATCTCCATCAAGATGTTGTAGTTAATTCGTGGAAAGAATGTAGACAGAGATCTCTATGTGATTGAGGGAGATCTAATGTGTGTGTGTGTGAGAGAGAGAAAATTTAAAGAAACTTGTAAGAGAAGAAACTTTAAATTTGAAAATTAAGCAAAATTGTACAAAACAAGTCTCTTAGCACCTATTAATAGACAAAAGTAGTGAGCCTAATCAAATTAATTATAAGTTTGACCCACTAATCACCTAATAACAAGTTTAAGATACTTCTAAAATAATTTCCTAAAAAAAATTCAATACAAAGTGTAGAGGTGAAAACTTGTGACACATTTTTGAATCCCGAGACATCCAAATTGGCTGAAACTCCCAATAGAGAAGTTGTATAAATTTGTCTTAGCTTTCCAAGGATACCAAAAATGTCCAATTCTTAGTTGGGGAGCTTAAAATATGGTCTGCATAAGACAATATGTCAAAGTGGATAAAAATTACAAAAATTAACTAAAATTTATAATTAAAACTAATATAGCCCACTACAACAAATCTCAAGCAATACATCAATTTAAGACACTTATAAATGTCAAATAAACCCAATGTAATCTAATAAAAGATGTATCAAACATAAGCCTTGTGCAAGCATGTTTGAAGTTGGAGATCTTGATGCTATAGGAAATATTCCATTTTTGGTCACTGATGGGGAGGATCAATGTATGTGGAAATGGAGCAGGGATGGATGATACACAATTTAGTCTACTTATCATGGATATATAAACCATGTACTGAATATGGAGTAGTTGAAAGAACTATGTGACTAGAGTCTTAATACCTCGACTAAGGTGAAGTCATTTATATGGCGCATCTACCGGGACATCTTACCTACAAGATTGAGGTTGCAAAATAGGGTTTAACAATGTTGGATTGAAAGTGAATTGTTCCTTAGCCCCTTATTAGAAGAAGTTGAAAGTATGAAAGAATTGGTTTTCAAAGTCCTAAATAGTTGGGAGAACAAGAGGACTACAAAGTTTTCAATGTTATTGTAGAATTTTTGGGATAACATAAATGCATTGGTTTGCTAATTTCATAAGTGTTAGAACCCACAAACTTGCATTCATACTTGAGTCAAACGAATGCGAGGCGATGACGCTTCTAGAGGCGATGCAATGAGTGTGTGCATAAGAACTTTATAATGTAATATTTGAGACAAATTGTTAGAGGGTGGTTAGTAGTTTCAATAGTGTAGAAATAGATTTAATTAAGTATGGTACTACAATGTGAAAATATAAGATATTGTCTCGTGAGTTACCCAACTATAGGGTTAAATTTGTACCTAGATAAGAAAATTTAGTTACTCACAAATTAGCAAGAACATATGAATTGTATGCTAGTTTTCATGATTTTAAATATATCCCTTCATGTATTGTTGATTAGTTTACGAATGAAATGAGTTAATTGGTTTGTTTCAACACACACACACACGCACACACACACACACGTATATATATACCACTTACTCTAAGAGTAAGTCTATATTATACTTATTTTATTTAATAATTCATATTCTATATCAAGTTTTAGTAATTCAATCGTTGAATTAAAAGTTCTTAATATAGATTAAGTTTGCAAATTTTTAAAAATTTGAAAATTATTTGATATTTCGTTTCATTAATTTAAATTGATGAAAAATTATATATATATATATATATATATATATATATATATCAAATAATTAAATTCCTATTAATATTTTTAAGATTAACTATCAAATTTTATTGGATAAAAATTTAGGTTTTACTAAAATATTATAAAGTTAATCCGACTATAATTATTTGATTTGTGCCATAAGAGTGCCATTTGTGGCACATCTAATAAGCACATGGGTCAGGTGAGCAGATTGCTTATTTTCATCTAGACGTGCCATTTGGACTATCACACTTAATTCTCAAACCATATATTCAATGAAATATATATGATTATAATTCATATATTTTAAGTTTTAATTACGTATGATTTAAATTTAGATAAATAATTTGGTTAAAATTTTAATTCAAATAGGGACAAAAAAAAAATCCGTCTCATACTCACTTAGATTAATACTTCCTAATATGAAATTTATATTAAAAAATTGTCTAAAATCGAAGTTTATACGTCTAGTCAATAATAATTAATAAATATTTCGATGGAGTCAACAGGCTAACTCAAATCAATCTCTTTCCTATATCATAACAATTTTTCTTTCATGAGATAATTAATTAAACTCTCCTACTAAACAATTGTTTTAAATTCCTAAATGTCACTACAAGAATTTATGTTTTTAACTGGGGTTATTTAACTGGAGTTATTATAACCCCTGGAAACATAAACACTTACGAGGGTTTTAATAACCCTTATTAAATTATAGGGGTTTGATTTCAAACCCCAGGAAAGTGCCAAGTGTTTTTTAGAAACCCAATTAATTAAAATTTTAATTTTTTTATTTCCCTCCAATTATTTCCTTTCCCTCTTAATTTCTTGGAGTATACAGAGACTAATTTTTAGTTTTCTTTTTCTTTTTCACAAGCAAAAATTAAAATTGCAATTACGAGGCTTTTATTTGATAAGGAATTCGAGTTTGGTGAAGGGCTTGTCTGGATTTTTCTTTTTCATAACCCTAGACGCGCATCTTAAACCTTTCCTTGAGGCACTTCTTGCCCTTGAGATCGACGTCAAGCGTGTAGCGTGTAGCGCCTAGCATCTTGGGCCTTTCCATTTGTGCTGATGATGGCTTTCACAACCTGAAGGTAATTTTATTGGTTTGGGCTCTGATTGTGTTATGGTGGTTTTTTGTGGTTGGTGATGAATTTTTGAACGGTTTCAGGAGATTAGAATCGTGGAAATCGTGAAACCAGTTGGTTGGGTTTATATATCGTTGGCTGGATTCGATCGTCGGTGAGTCTGTTTTTCTATTTTGCAATGGAAGGGTTTGTTTGTTGAATGCTTTGCCATCTTGTTTTTTTGTGTCTTTCGCTTAATACTGTTTTTCTCATCATGGATTTTGTTGTAATTTTTAATAAATTTAAGATTGAGTACCTCGACTTGAGTGCAGGAAAAAATTATTCACAGGAACTAAAGGTGGGGCACGCCAAAGCTAGGACTGGAACTCACCAATAGTAGAGTATGTAAATGTGTTTGATTAAATACTCCCTTTTAATTTTTAATAGTATTAATTTTTTTTTTGAAAAGAATAAGATCCAAATAAGTATTAACGTTATATTCACTTACATCAATTTAAGAGTGATAGGCTGGAAACATAAGCAGCAGTTCAGAACTTTTATTGCCTTCTCTTCCTAAGCTTTTGCATGTATTTATAGAATTTATGAACAACCTTTCTGAGCTTCTGCTATCCTTTTGAACTTGTAGCTCGATAGAAGTCTTTATACTGGTCATTTATGGTTTTTTTGGTGAATACATTTGGTCACCTGATTCCTTAGATGAACTTCTTCATATTGAAAACCTCTTGCCTTTAGGAACACAATCCTAGAGACTCAGCCCTTTTACATTTACCTAGGTGCTCTGTCTCTTGTTTTCCCTTTTTTCTTCCTTTCTTTTGTGTTGTCCTTTTTTTATTGAACGTGAATGTCGAACAATCTTGTAGATAGCTTGTTTATAGGCTTGAAATTTGCATCATATTCAAGGAAAAAATGCTCTGGTTTTGCATGAATCTCTTGATTAGGAATGAGAAGAATGTTATGACTATTTAACTCTTATGATGTGAATGTATTTTGGTTCCTAATTCTTGAACTCCCTCAACTTTGACATCTTTATGGTATTTAATGTTTTAATACATTTGGATTTTGAATGATTGGTGGAATTAATATGATGAGAATATTGTTTTATAAGGTTTTGCTTTCTCATACATTGTTTATTGTTTTTATTTGTTATTATATATGAAATTTAATATAATGTGTGCTGCACTTCCAGGTTGCAATTTGCATCACTATAGTATGTAACCTTGCTTGGTCATGTTGCACCAGTGCATTGTGTAATTATAAAATAATCTATATGTTTACTATGTAAAACTTTTACATACTCTCATCTAATTAGGGATGTGAACTAGTTAGGCAGGGCAGATTCAGATAGTAACCTCTTGTGATCTGTCCTATGGATTAATATTAATCATGTTTTCATTACTCATATTTGTGCAGGTATTTGTTAAGTGGATATTCATGAATTTTTTTAAATGTCCACAAGTATTTTTAAATATTTATTTTATAAAAAATTCAAAAATATTTTAATAATAATTTTTATTTATTCCAATAATTTCTTTAAAAAATAATTATTTAAAAGTTAAAACTTAAATTATTCAAATATTATACATTATCTTATTATTTTAAAAATTTAATTTAATTGTTAAAATATTTTATTTTTAAAATTTTTAAAAAAATTAACATGTAATTATGTAATCGTTACAAAATCGCCGGGAACGTGTGAATTTACCCAGGGTTCACTAAAACCGCTGGTAACACGTTACCGACGGACAATTTGGCTGCGGAAAGTGCAACCGCGGGTAACGTCATTAACGGGGGTTTTAACCCCAGGTAAATCCAAAATTAACCTCCACTAAATCCATTTTTTTTTGTAGTGTGTGTATATTCTAAAATTTGAATCGCTAATGATGCCATATATAGGGTGTGTTTGGTATACGCTAGTCCTAACGGATTAAATGTAAAGGTGAACATGCAAGAGAAAGTAGGTGCCTTAATTGCTTTGTAAAGTTCATTGTACTACTTCTACAGCTTCAGATGGCTTAGAATTGATCTTCCAACAAGCACAATGTGCTCCTTGCATCAAATTAATTAACTTATTATCCTTCAATTCAACTTAGAAATTCAGTTTTTTTGAACTTGGTAAATCTTCCATATGCACCACTTCATATAAATGTGTGATGGGATAATTTAACCCTAATGGCATAATCTAAGAACAGATATGCACCTAATAAAGAAACTGGTTAGTGGCACTTTAATGTCTAAAACTCAAAGCGAGTTATCGACAAGACGGCAAAACCTATTTTCCTCCACTAAAAAAATGAACAAATGATGGAAGAGGACCACATGTAAACTTAAGGATTAATTATATTTTCCATTCTTACCATATGCTATTACTATTGAAAAAATGTTTTTCATATTATAGTTGTTGACAAACATGTAATGGTCTCCTAAATTTAAGTAGTGTTCAACTTAATCTGTTTAAAGTAATGTTTTAGATTTTAATTCTGATAAAATGAAAAAACATAATTATAAAAAAAGCGTATGTTTTTAATTTTTGTAAAATTTTTGATTTTAATCTTGTATTTTTATATTTTTTTACTTTTCATCTTCTAAAATTTGAAACTATTTTTTAATTCTATAACTATATAATTCTTTTTAACTATTTATTTATTTATTAGAACATCAAGTGATTACTATAAGTGAGATCCACTGCATATAATACTTTGTTAGTATATAATCTTTCTAAATTTTTCTTATAAAATTCTAAAATAAATATTATTTATATATATTAAAATGATAATCCGGAGTAAAAAATAATGACTTTAAATTTTAAAGAAATAACTTTTTTTTAAAGAGACTAAAATCAATTCTTACTCATTTTATGATATAAAAATAATATAAATTTTAAAAGAATAAATTATGAGAACCAAATAAAAGTTACTTATTTTAAAAAACAAAAACATATTCAAACCTATTAAAAAAATATCTTAATTATAACCGGCACAATAATATAGTCTAAGAAGGATGGCAACATTTATAGCAGCAAGTGGCAAATAGTTGAATAAATGGGCATTTTTTTTCCCTTATCTTGTGCTACACAACCTATTGTACCATAGAATGTGTCATTACACAAAAAAGGTTTAGTCATCCTAGCAATGCGGCTAATAGTAATATATTATTAACTAATACCAAAATAATTTATTTGAATGAAACTTCTGGTGGTATGGGAAGTCCGTTATGGCTATTTTGAATAAAGCTTATTGTGAATAAAGAAGCATATTTTTGTCTAAATTAATACATAAAACTATCTTTTACATATATCAATCTGGTTGAAGCTACTTAAACTATTTATTAGAAAACTTCCATGGTCCTCAATATTAGACACTGTATAAAGACAAAACTTGAGCGGCAAAAAACGAAAGAATAATATTGGCAGAGAAGTCTATACTCTATACGCAAATATATAAAATATTAGTGGCAGTTTATTTTCTTGAAGCCAAATTTACTAACAAATAAGTCTTCATTTTCAGCTTAAGGTAACAAATAAGTCTTCCTTTTCAGTTTAAGGCAAATTTACTAAGAAAAATGATAAATATTTTACAACAACATGGTAATTAACAAAATGAAGAACTATGTTTTTACATTATTGACTATTTTTTTTTTGAATTCTAATGATTTGAAAACTAGTCCTTAACTATTGAAAACAAAGTGAAATGAAGAATCTGATGGTGATGAAATTTTGTCCCGGAAGCTTGATCAAATGATTAATGACTTAAACTCCTACGTCAAGTCAAAATAGTTTGATAAAACCCCTCCAAACTCCAACCCATTTTTCCACCAAACATTTCGGAAAGAGACTCCAATCCCTAATCCCACCTTCCTCTCCAATTTAATTGACCCCTTTATCCGCTTTCTATCTCTCTCTCTTTCAGCACAAAGTTATTTTGATAAGGAATCCTACCAACACCCCCATTTCCACTTTTGTCCTTTCTCAATTCCTCATCCCACAAAAACAGAGTCCTCTGTTTCCCCTTTCCCACTCTATATATATTACCCCTCCCTTTCTTTCTGCACCCTAACTAACTTCCTAGGTTCATGTCTTCCAATAAGAAAACTCTTCTTAGAACCGTTTTCACAGCAAACGGAACCTGTGGTTGCACCAAAACTAAGGCCTCCGAAGTGCACGAACCAACCCCAAAACCAAAACCAAAAACAAAACCAACACCAAAACCTCACCACATTCTCCCAAAGCCAAACCTTAGTAGCATGGCCTCTTCCACCACTTCCCTCGACCACGTGGATGAAGAAGAGTTCACCTCCACCACAATATCCGAACCTGACACTTTTCATGATTACAGCAACAACAATAATAGTAACAAAGACAACAACGTTGTACTCAAACGAAGCCCCCTCGTGGATAGCGTGGCCATCGAGAAGGACTCTTCCAACCCATATCATGATTTCCGACACTCCATGCTCCAAATGATCTTCGAGAAGGAGATCGAGTCCGAGGACGATCTTCAAGATCTTCTACAATGCTTTCTTCATCTAAACGCGCCATGCCACCACCACATCATTGTTAAAGCCTTCAACGAGATCTGCGACGAAGCTTTTCCTCCCAAGGTTAGTACCACATCGACCGCCTATGAACCATCTCCCTCTCGCAAGAACTCCCTCGTCGTTCCAAAGAGCCGGTGAACGTGGCAATACCATTAACATTGGCCACGTAGTAAATTTAGACTACACAATCATACATGAATAGTTAAGATTAAAAGTTATCTAATGATGATCAAACCAATATTTAAAAAGGTTACAAGGATGGATGTATCTTTACGAATCTTTAGTTATTCGATTGAATTGTTATGTCATGATTTACTCTTTTCACTTAAAAATGTCTATGTAGTAAGATCCATGATGGAATTATGTTGATATTATGTCTTGTTCACATTGTGTTTATAGAGATTGTTTGTGCAAACACAAGTATTGCTTCATGGCAATGGATGATTTGTTAGCTAGCCAAGATAGCTCACACACGTGTCTAGGCCATGTGCAGGCATTGAATTCACACGTGGGAAGAAGATGCATGTAAACATCATGGTTTTAAGTTGGCTTCTTATTCATTCTTTTATGAGTAGTGCATGAAATAACTATGTGGGGTTGGAAGGAGTGAGTTTTGGTTGAAAAGTATGAAAATGGGAGCTTGAGAATCGTAAGTGGCTGTGTAAGTTTGAAAGAGATATTGGTTATAATTTCTTCTTTTGCTTATGTGATATTATGATACTTTAATGTAAATGATTAACTAATCAATAGAAGCTCATGCTTTTTTCCAACAACAATTTATTAGGAGTAATTGAGCATTTAATATATAGAAATGAATTTTTGAGTTACTAGTTAATACACGATTGATCACTTTTGTTAATTATGAGTGATTTTTTTTTCCGGTAAAATATAAATTCTTAAATTTATTATTTCAATTTAGAGTTATGCTTCTTTTTTTTTTTCAACCATAAGTGTTTTCTAATTCACTAGAATAAAGATTAATTATATTCGTAATATTATAACTATTGTTAATTTAACGAATTTTTATACGCAATAAAAATTGAACACGGATTCTTAATTGCATAAATCATTATGTAAACATATATTATCTATTATACCATCTCACGAGGTAAGTAAAAATTATATTTAACATAGGATTAATTATTTTAATTTGATGTACATAAAATGCATTAATTAGCTTATTTCTTCTAAGCTTAGCAGATAAGAGAGCATAGGTAGACCTATTATTCAAGCTGATATTGATTGATAGATTGTATACATACAACAATTCATACACTCTATGTGGTTATAAATAACAGTCTTCATCTTATATAAAGTCTATTTCAATTTCAATATCTCATCTTTCAAGCTAAGTTTTTTTTACCTTATGTCAACAAATGACATTACTACAGAAACATTTTGCATTAATTGTTGCATTTAATTTTTAAAAGTAATTAATAGTTAGATAAAGTATCTAATAGTAGTAGCGTAAGAGGACAGATATGGGTCTTAGATTTGAAAGCTTAAAGTGGAAAGTACTAATCTAAGTTGTAGTTTGTTAGCTACAAGTACCAAAACTTAAACAAACACTGTACCTTAATTATACTTTATCTTTTCAGTGAAGAAAGCATTATTAGCAGATTAATTAGATTAGTGGAGTACAACATTTTGCATCCAACAAGAACGCTCGTCAATTTAAGGGAGCGAAGTTTCTCGTCTTCCACCATAACACTTTTCTGAAGCTTTTGCATTCTGAAATATGAGATTAAATAATTTAGTATCTCTATTAGATTGGTCTTCAAAGTTAGGAAATTTTTAAATAATTCTATGAAAATATTATTTCTCAGTCACATTATTCTGAAACTTATATTGAATTATGGTATTAGTCTTAAATTAAAAATACAACAGATTATGAACCTACCACTTAATTACGAATTTATATTATTAATACAATATTTTTATAATATCTTCGACAAAAGTTATTTATCTTTCTTTACATCATTTTTTTATATTTATTTTATACTTTTGTTATATCTCTTTATTATTAAATAGGTTATATAAATTCATTGCGAAATTAATCAATTATAACTTATCTTTAATTAATTATGTGTGTTTCACATGCGATACGTGATGCTTAATTTCTTCATGGGCCCAAATTAAACTTCCACTCCAATCCAAGATATGCTGAAACAAAGAAAGAGAGGTCTCTTCTTTGCTTGTGAAATTGTTCTCAACAGGTACCAATCCAAATCAAGAGTCATATAACATCTATTGCATACGACATGTAATGTAACAAGTTCAATCAACTTGCTTGAAAACCAATTCTTACGAGAAATCAAGACATATATGTTGTGAGAAACGTTAATACATATTTTTCACAACAACATATACTTTAGTTTATTCCCTTCTAATTTAAAGTTGTATGGACAGCACTTCAACTTCAATATCGAGATCAATTTCTTCTATGATTCACATTGAATTTGATCAAGTTCTCTTATAAAAATTGTAGATCTACCTTAGTCTTTCATATAGACCAATATTACTTCAATAGCACAACTAGAGTCTGTGTTGTGACCTAGACAAATTAAGTGTAAAATTGTTTTTCACTATTATTCATATTTCATGCACTAAAAACATAAGAAAATTAGTGAATTCAAATATTTGTTTCATTTAAACCATTCAAAACATGAAGCACAATAAAATATATTCTTTAAGTTTTTTCTTCTCATAAGTCATAATATTCACCAAGTTAATGCATTAAAACATGCAAAAAAAATTTATTATCAAAATTTATTATCAATATATAATAATAACGGAACAACCAAATTATAAACTCCTTGAATTACAAAAAATTAATATATAATTAAACATATAATTTTAAATTAGAATATACTGTATAAGTTATTTATATCAATTGTATAATAGTAAAGTATGTAATTAGTTTAGTAGTCACTAAAATATTAAATAATTACATTAATCTATGTCTAAGTCCTATCTTTAAATAAAACATAATTTAGTGTGCGTGTGTGTATGTATATACATGTGTGTGTTACATATGATAATAAGAAATCATATGCTTCAATAGTAAGGCATTTACACATACATGGGAATCCTTTAAAACTTTCAAAGATATTTTACTTAGACTGTACCATCACACCACCTAAAGGTTAATTGTTCTAATCAAAAACTCACCAATTCACAGGTTTGATCAAAATATTGATCGGGCCAAACTGATTCTTAACAGATTAATGAAATATTTGATCTAATGTGAGGCTAGAATTGGTTGGCTCACCAGTTCAATTGATTTGAGTCAATTTTTAAAATCATAGCCACCACATCCCCCTTCTTTTTTCCTTTTTTTTTTTTTTTATTGCCTTTTGCTATCATTGTTATTATAGCTCCTTTGTTGTTGTCAAACTTGCTATAGTAAAACGTGAGAAATGTGAAACATGGGGGAAAGGAAGATATGGCTCGGAAAGTGCAAAAGAGATGGGGATGGAGCTAGTGGTAAAAACGGGATTCATGTATTGATTTGTAATCATCACAATTGCAACACTGTCATGGTGGTCACTAATAAGTCGTCTTTATTCTGCATTTTGTTGTAAATATTCTTAATATTTAGAAGTTAAAAGGGTGCTAACAAGTAACAACACTCTCTTTCTAACACATACTATATAATTAGTTAAAATAGATCAAAGGCATTTTGGTCATATTAAGGTAGTTTTCAAACCATTCCTAAAGTGTGGTTGTTTAGAAACAATTTTTTTATTTTGGAATGCTTAACAATAATTGTTGTTAGAGCATGTTTAATGAGGATTGCTTATAAGCAATTCTGTGCCACATCACTGCCACATCAGTTCTGGTCTACTTTATGAGTTGCTTAAATTTTAGCAGAATTGCTTCTAAAATTTAAGCAACCTATAAAATATACCAGAACTAATGTGGCACGGAATTGCTTATAATTGCATATGCTCTTAGTCAATCCAGCAACACTTCTATCATGTCATTTAATATATTTTTTTAAATAATCACCTAAAACAACTCTAGGTGGAACACGTGGCACTGACTCAAATATCGCTGCAACTGGTGGTAATATTTGCTTTGTCAAAACTGGTTGTAGTGATATAATAAATTTTTTTTTTTCTGTATTATCATGGTGACCCATTGTGAGAAGACATTTTTCTTTTTTGTGTCGGAGTGGCCTTGACGACACTATTTTTTTTTTTTTTCAACATGGTTCACAAGGGGTGTTGCCGAACATATTTATTTTAGTGCTGCTATTCCCACCTGCAAACACCTATTTTATTTATTAAATTTTTACTTTTTATTTTTTCTGATTTTACTTATTTATCTAATTAATTTTGATTTTTTTGCGTATTTTACTTATTCCATTTTTGTTCTTCCTTTTTTCTTTAGGGATATTCAAGTTGTCCACTTTTTTGTGTCTAATATTGTGATATCGTCCTTGGTTAAGTACTAATTTAGTTGTCATTGTTTCTTGGATTGTGATCCTGTGATTTTTTGTATTGTAGAGTAAAAAGTTGTTCCCAATGTGGAGTACCAGTACTGAACATAAATAACATGTTTCGCAGTATTCCTTTAAGAACCTTGTTGAAAAATAAATAAATAATAGTGTTACTTAGGTTCATTGTGACAAAAAAAAAATTCTTTCGGAATGCATCATTGCGAAAATAGTAAAAAATAAAATAAAAGTTTAGATGACTGCAACCATTTGCGATAGAAAAGGTATCGTTACCGGTTACAATGACATTTACATCGATGTCATGTATTACAATTGGAGTCATTTTTAGGTGAATTTCTTTCTTTTCTTAAAAAATGACATGACAAGAGCG